TCTATTGGGAAGCCGTGACCGGTAGAGTGGAGCAGGTTGAATGTGAGGATAGTTACCCATCGAAGAAGACATTGCGAAATGGTCGCGCCATGTCATGAATTGGCAGAAGTTAGAATTCATAGGCTGATATTGGATCGGGTCCCAGTGGCTTAATGGTCTACTAGGTAGCCCACGTTGTAACCAGAAGGTCCAGGGTTCAAGCCATGGTGTTGGAATTGTACTGCTGAAGAGTCTCAAGCACTAGGACGAAACAGCTGTCCAGTACTCCCTGCAGGTTTTCTAATGGTTCTCTAACTGATATCAGCTCATGATGTAATCCTCCAACCAATCAAACAAAATTCCCTACAAAAACCAATACTTTAAAATAAATAAGTTTTATACTTTTCGTACTTAACAATAGGATAATGCTAAGCATTTAATTTATGTCATTCTGGCTCTGACTAGTCGAACTAAGCATGATATAGAAACATTTCCAACTTGCTGCAGACTTTAATCACCAACTGCCTCTACTCTGAGAGAATACCGGCCAACAGTCTGTTATCTTGATAGATACGCCAAAGAGGATGAAGATGGACTGAACATAGGCTGTGGGGGTCGTTGATTGTCGTCATGTGCTAGGCCCTTGACCGGGGCTCGAACTGCAGGCGTAGAGGGTAATATGGAGGAAATCATGTACATCAAGTACATAAGAAAAGCAGAGAGCAGGTTGTCCCCTACGCATGAGGATGAACACGTGACGAAAAGTTTTAATTTTTGAAGTTTGTCTTCCCTTAACAGCGTCATAGCTTGGCATATGGTTGATACATACAACCAAGTCAACATAGTAGAATATTTCAGGATGTTGAATAGACGAAATGCTTGACAGCTACTTCTAGTTGCTGAAGCTGTCATTATACGTAGAGTGAAGCCCGAATTAGGTTTGATGATATTAGATAGTTGGAGGCAATCAGCAGGAAGCCTTGGACCTAGGTTTCGTGCTAGATGACACTCATCAGCAAGGCGTATCTGAAACCTTGAAGAAACTCATGTTCCTTCTGAGATTCGAACCCAACGTCACCCAGTGATGCAGTCAAAGACGTTACGACGGAGCTATTCGGGCTCACGATTGACCTCCTGTAGGACTCTGGTGGGTATTTCGATTGGACACTAGTAACTAGTGTTGTGTGTCTAGTCCTTTCTTTTTGGTGCAAACTGAATTCTATCAGTCAGTCATTGCAAAACCTGAATGATTTTTACATGAACTTTTCTTTCTGACATTTTATTCGCCTGTTGTAAAAGTATTCATCATATGTGCGTCTGTGTGGTCCACTAATAAGATGCTTACCGACCACGTCTCATGTAGTCTGGGGGTTTGATACACGGCCATTGAACTCTTAAGTCTTGCTTGACCAGTAGTAAGCTTGGTAAACTGGGGATTTCGAGTGTGAGGCTTGCGACTTCACTAGAAATTCATAGCTTGAGCCTGAAGCCCTAATATTCTACTTGGAAAGCAAAAGAATCAAATAATAATATCAATGTCTCAGTTATGTCACTATTCGATCTGGGTACAGATGACCAAGACCCTACCAGTGATGAAATACGGTAAGAGAGAAATTACAAAAATATTCACTAATACAATAAATAAAGTAAAACAGGAATTATAATTTTTTTATTCCTTTACGTTCCCAGTGGAACATAGGGGTTTCAAGCTTTAGGGCTTGAAGTTTCAGTAGTAGCAGTGGTGTTTTTTTACGGGATGATGTTGCTAGCCTCATGCCTAACCTTCCCTCTTTACCAGTTTTATTAATGGCTTAGCGAGGTAAAGCAGTGCATCTGTGGCCAGGGATCAGAAAACAAAAGAGGCTTTATGCATTTAATAGAAGGATTGGAATATTTTTCAATGGTCAATTAAGTTTTAAGATCTCGATCAGCCATTTGAGAGAAAAACGCGGAATAAAGTTTTAACTAACAGATTGGGTAGAGTTATTTCTTGAATTCTTATAGCTAGTGTTGTTGTATGTTCAAGTAGGCTAGGGGGAATCCCATTTTTTCAAACGTTTCAATGGATTGCGATAAATGATCATGTTTGACCGATTTCCACCAAACACTTGAAAACTGGGTGTATTACCGATTTTGGATTTTTTGCTGAGCTGTAAACATATGTATCAGAAAGAATAGAATGCACAATAGTGAACAATTCGAGGATAAGGTATTTTAACTCGGCACACTGATAAGTCGTGATAACCTACAAAGTTATGAAGAAAACAGAATCACGTAAATGGCCTACTTTATAGGGGTATCATATATTTCGACCAAGTTCTAATTACATGTTTAACTTCACCGCATCACTAGTTGTTCATATGGTTAATTGGTTAAAGAACTCAACTCAAAGCCAATGAGTCCTGTGCTGGAATCCTGCTGAAGTAAATGAAGTGTTCAGCTGAATATTGTCATCAGAATGTGTGATTCGTAGTCTGACACATGATAACTCTGTTCCTGGTCAAGGATTTCTAACAATGGAGGTTGTTGAATTACTGAGAATTTTCAATATGAGCTACTGTGAAAAATTTTTGTTTTTGCTTACAGCTTGATGCCACACTGTATTTTCAGTACAAGTATGGCATTTTCAGCATGGATATCGGTAGCCCAAATTTAGCAGGCCGACCATTGATATCAGGTGTGCGCCGGAACTGGATCGGATCCCGAATCATATGCAAGGTAGCCGCTGTGCCACTGATGCACAATTAGACCTTTGACGGCCTGGAAAAATTGCATCTGACAACGATATTTAACGCAATCAGTGCGGGGTATTGGGAGTAGTTTCCAACTAGCAATAACCGCGCCCCAGATAAACTTTATTGGCTACAGTACCGCCATTATCATCAATGTGAATCCATGACCACATTAGGGGTCGAACCCATGATCTCTAGGTCATATGGCCAGGTCACTGGAATTCAGTGTCCTATGAATTTGGATTCGAACCGTGTTGGGAGCCATACTCGCCTACTGCCAAACTATATGGTGTTTGATTAACATTGTTTCGTTATGAAATCCCCCAAGGAATTCGTTAAATCCTTACTAATCTGATATCTGAAAAAATAGAACACGAACTCGAACATATCCAATGATATTTGAGCAGCCTACCATTAAGATGGATTTGCTAAAAACAAGTCACAGTAAAGACATTACAGCCAATATACCTTTCTAGTATGTTCACCTTTTATTTGCTATACGAAGAGTTTGATAAATAGCTATATATGTCTCTGGATAGACTGTGGTTATATAATCAATAATTGTATCTACCAATTCATCTTCGCTTGTGAAGCTAGTTATATTGGCTGTTGCTCTAGAAACTTGATTCTTCGTGCTCAGGAACACCTACCAGTGTGTTTAGATAAAGGTGTGGTGAAAACAATCATTGACTCGAAATCAGAAAACCTAGTCCAGTCCGGCCTGCACTGAAGAATCCTTCTCCATCATCTGTCGGGTACTAAGTAAATTGCCAGAAGTATCGAGGTCCTCAGGAGCTATTTTGATTCGCCTGAAACAACCGGTGCTCTATGTGCACAAGAAGCGAGTCCAGCCTGCCACTACTACTGTCCTGGCCGGCCTTCAATGGAGACTATAAATTCATGAGTTCTGTTTTATTATTGTCTGATATTCGGTGTAGCGTTAGGTTGATGCATATGATAACGCTTACAGATGCTGTTGAACCATAATCTATCTGCACCGTTGATTCGGTGTCATTTAAAAAACATTAATGTTGTTAATAACCCTAATTCTTTCATTATTATGGGTGTATAACTGTACATCCTGATGAAGAAGAGGTTTAACCACGGATAGATATCAGTTAAAGAACCACTGAAAACCAGCACTAGAGTACTGGACAGCTGTTTCATTCTAGTTTGGGAATCATCGTCAGTACGCACCCACTGGAGTTCAAGCCCAGGACCTTCCGGTTACAAGGCAAGCTCGTATACCATTCTGATGCTCGCTAGTGACTTGCTACAGGACGGAGTTTCCTGGAGTTCTAGTGAGAAGTCGTGACCAGTGAGGTCTATCCAGTTGGGAGTGAGGCTGGAGTTCCCCCCGATGAAATTGGTTGGTGGTTGCGCTAAATCACGAATTACTAGAAATTAGAATTCACGGGATGGTCATTGAATCGGATCCCAGTGTCTGAATGGTATACAAGCTTGCCTTGATTACTAACTGGAAGGTCCTGGGTTTGAACTCTAGTGGTGGGTACGTACTGTCAATGATTCCCAAACTAGGATGAAACAGCTGTCCAGTACTCCAGTGCTGGTTTTCAGAGGTTATCGAAAAGACTATTCTTTCTTCAGTAATACAGTCTTTTAAAATTTCTAATCGATATAAGGATGGATTTCAAATGGCTAATCTCGCTTTATACGCAGTAGTCTATGAAGTATAGAGTTACAGCTTAGTGTTAACATTACATAATGAATTAGATTCCCTCTTCCCAATTCACCCGTGATGTTTAAAACAAACATAGAATAAGCCCTTTTATCTCATTAAACTTTCTAATCAATAATGACGAAAACAGTAACAACAACCTGTAGATAAGCGATTCCCTTCTCCTACTCCAACATACAATCAAAAAATAACAAAAAAATGACTTCTCGTTCACTACTTATAATCCCTTCAAAATGAAATGACAGTAACATTTAGATTTTAACGATCAATCAGCTGCGCTTCATTCATTCATTGATCAGCCAAGCTAAATAAGCCAGTCAGACTTATGAAGGCTTCATTGCCCAGTTGCCTAAATATTTCGCCCAAACAATTAAACTTTGAAAATAACCAATCATAGTGAAGGGAAAGCAATACGAGTGGGCGATAATCAGACTCATTATACTCATATAACTAACTAACTGGTCAATAAATAACAAGCTGACAAAAATAAACGAAGGGAAAAAAATATATACAGGCAAACAAACATACAACATCAAATGAAAACAAACAGACAAACAGATAAGCCCAATGAACAATATTTGGAATGAAGAGAAAAGCGTAGCGAGCGCAAAATAAGGCGAGTGATTCACTCACTCACAGTGTTTGTACACTCACTGTGTTGATGTTCACGTCATATTTGTGAAAGAAAGATTGGTAGTATTGACAAGTGATCATATTAGCATACTGACTAGCGGATTTTAATTGAAACGTTTTTGTCAATGATGCAGTCTCAATTTTGAATTAGTACACATTGAATACACATATTGAAAAAAATCAAACAGTAAATTAAAACAAATAACTTGGAAGGCGTTGACAAATTTCAATTGAAATCGGTGAGTTTTTATTCAATCTTCTCTGTCATTTAAACAGTGTTAAAATTCTAAGTTACTGAAATGATGAAATATTGAAAAATGTCAAATTATTAAAGCAATTTAAATCTTTCTCTTTTAATTGTCTATGATAGACTCAAATGTTTTAGGTAAATGAAGCTTCTCCAACTTCAAAAATCGATTAGCGATGATGGGATTTAATTGTCTTAACTGTGCTTTGTTTTCTACTCCTGAAAAGGCCATTTACTACCTCAGCCTGGAATCTAGATATTCTCCTGAAGACCTTGTGGCCTGTATTGCTTAAATTTAAGAATGATCTTGTTTCGAGACATTTTGCTTGATGGGGAGGGTGGAGTGTTTTTGACTGAATCGTCTGGTGGGTGACATTATCATGTTGAAAAGTCCAGAAGAGAATGAAACAGATGCCTTGAAACAATCTGCTTCACTTTATTTGGTTGATGTTCACTAGCACTGGAATCAACGACGTGCATTTCGCCCTGTTTGAGACTCCTCAACTGGACATACCTACATCCCAAGTGAGTGGTGTTCCCACTGCCACTCTAACCGAACACTGATGGTTTCAAATGCTTCAAAATAGAATGAATTGTTCATCTTCGATTCTACTGATGGTAATCATCGACCGAAGAACATCATGTTCGTCTTGGGTTATCTTCAAAGAGTCCGTACAAGGAGGCAGTATGTCAGCAATCGAATATGATCGATCTATGGAAAGTAAAAATTAACCTAAACGAACGCGGAGTTTGACCAAACAAACTTCTAAAATAATGTCAATTACGATCATTTGAATCTTCAACGCACAAACATTATGGAACTTTCGTAGGTTTTCAGTAAGAGAAACCGTGAAGTCGAAACTGACTTATCAATGTGGTTGTCTAGAATAGCCTCAACTTAACACAGCTGTGATGTTGGAATAAGGCGTTGATAATAATAAAAGGAAAGCCTGGAGTTGCATCAGGATTCCAGCTAGGCACGTGGTGGTATGATAACTGCTTCATTGTATTCTTGCCTTTAAAATAAAGTGAAAATGTAAAGTGAGACATTCACTAATCTGAAATTGATTTGGAAATCTGTTGCACTTAGCATAAACAACAAAATCGTAGTCTGAATAAAGCAAGAACAACAGTTTTTGCAGAATAAAATGGTACCATCATTGTTTATTTCGTTGGCTTCTCATCATCTGCTTACAGGTCAAAGTCATTACTAAATATATCTACAAAAAACAATTTTAACATACTTGCACGGAGTTCATTTTTAAGCAAAAATCAAGTAATCAGTATAAGTATGCAGTAATAATATAAAGGGAACAAATGCTTTAAAAAGTGTCATCGCCAGACATCTCCTTAACACGGGTCATGAGGTGGATGTCGCAAAATCGTTCAAAATTATCAATAGGCGAAAGAGCTCAATTCTCCTTAAGTTTGCTGAAGTCTCCATCTCCATCAAGCGCCTGAAACCTGATTTATGCTTTCACAAAGAAGCAGTTATCAGTCTTTCTTTGCCATCATAGTAACTGGATATTTTCACTCTCTTTCATTTGATTACGTAATTTCGAAAGTTTCCATTGTGTATGATCATTATTAGTTGGAATACTGTTTAATATTATATATATAGATTGATTTTTGCTTAAAAATGAACTCTGTACAAGTATGTTAAAATCATTTCTGTAGATATACTTAATAATGACTTTGACCTGTAAGCAGATGATGAGAAACCAATGAAACAAACAATGATGGTACCATTTTATTCTGCATAAACTGTTCTTCTCGCATTATTCAAATTCCCTAAGGGAAATAAATGTATGGAAATCAGGGTCTTCAATTCTAATGTCAAATCAATGCTTAACTATGGCCTAGAAAATTGATTGTCACGTCATGAAAAGCTTCTCCAACAGGCTAAAGGGGACTTTGGTCAATAGCTGCCTTCTCTGACTTCATACTGAAGACTACATGGCTAACGAGGAAAAGTTGGCTGTAAGGAACCCTGGGAACGAACCAATCACGAACCTATTGCCCAAAAGGAAATGCAGATAGATCAGACACACTCTGAGAATACAGCTGAGTGACATAGTGGGCCAAGCCTAAGTGAGAAGCAACGACTTGGTTGTGTATCTAAGGGTGATATAAAGCAGATCGTGTGAGGGGAAGATGAGAACTTATGAACAGTTATAGAGCCCGCTGAAGCTAAATGAAGAAAACAGGATGATTTCGAAATAGATTGTTGAAGCTCTATTTTCTATTAAAAACCCCATAATAAGTTGCAATCTAAGATTTAGTGGAGATCATGTTTCTTCAGCATACATTCACCAAAGATATTTAATGTATTTATGTTTGAAACTGTGGACATCATCATATTTATATGCAGTCCAGTTTCTACTCTTGATATTCTTCAAAACAAGCTTATGATACTTTACACCGTTTATCAACAAATAAATGTTTTCCAAGTGATCCGGATTTTCAACTCCAATGTGAAGTCAGTGCTACTATACGGATCAGAGACTTGCACTGCGCGTCATGAAGAGCATCTCAAACAAACTACAGACCTTCATTAAAAGTTGTCTTCGCTCAATACTCAAGATCAGATGGCCAGAAAAGATCAGCAACAGGGATCTCTGGGAGCGAATCAACCAGGAACCGATTGTGAAAGAAATGGGCAGAAAGAAATGGAGATGGATTGGCTGGCCATACTCTGAGGAAACCATCAAGTGACATCACTAGACAAGCCATTGCTCTAGTGAAACCTGAAAGGGAAGCGGCGAGTTGGTCGTCAGTGCGATGGTGACTTGGAGGAGGTTATGTGAAGAGGAGATGAAAACGTTTGGGCAGACATGAGCCAGGTGAAGACTCTAGCAGAGAACCGAACGCAATGGAGATGCACGGCTGAAGCCCTACGTTCCTCTGGGAATTAAAGGATACAATAATAATAAGTGATTCTATTAACCACCTCTGTTCTCTCTTTTGCTGATTCATGTAAGATGCCTGTACTCTTTTTCAGCCCTTATAAATAATCTAAGATAATCCCAGAGTATTTAAGAAAAAAAATCATAACAACACTTTTTTTAACGTTTCACTGTGTAAGCCACAGCTTCTTCTTCTTCACCCGCAGAATTTTTCGGATTTTATTTTTTTTTATTCCTTCACGTTCCCAGTGGAACTTAGGGCTTCAAGCTACAGGATTGAAGTTTCTGTAGCAGTGTTTAATTTTACAGGATGGGGTTGCTAGCCTCATGTCCGACCTTCTCTCTTTACCAGTCTTATTACTGGATTGGCGAGGTACAGGAGTGTGTTGGTGGCCGGGAATCGAACCCCGGACCATATACATGGTCGGCGAGCGTCCTAACCACTATGCCACCGACTCACTCGGATTTTATTAATCATCAAAATATACAGTCAGAAGTTACATAAACTGAATTGAGTTCCTTTGGAGATCACTTGTCGGCAGACATTTGTACCTATAGGCAGCGGACATAAGCTTGGTTTTGACAATGCCAAAATTTTGCGAAGAGGTTTACGTTTACATAAAGAAAAGCTGACCTCTGAAGCCTTTGAATGAAGTAAGTAGGAGAGAACGGATAAACTAATCATACCCATATGACAAACTCAAGTGGGTGAGAAAAGACAAATTCAATTTGACATTGGTTGGCGGATTTCATAATGAGCTGACATCAGCTAGAGAACCACTGGAAAATTACCTGAGACTACTGGACAGTTGTTTCACCCTAATGTTTGAAAATCTTCATCAGTACGCACTCTCCTACCAGGGTTCGAACCCAGGACCTTCTGGTTACAAGGCAAGCTCGTAGACCATTGACCAGCCACTGTGACCCGACCCAGTGGCCCATGAATTATAACCTCTGCTGATTCATGACATAGCGTGACCACTTCGCAATGTCTTCTTCAATGAGTTACTGACTCACCAGGTTTTCCAATGCTTCAGTAGCTGATGTCAGTTCATGATGAATTCCCCTAACGAATCAAACAAAATTCCTAAAGAACCAAAACTTGAAAATTTGACATCAGTAATTACAAATCTGTGATAATTGTTTACATTTTTCTGTTGGTACAAATGCCTACCGACAAGTGACCTTCAAAGGAACTGACTTCAATTTATGTAATCTCTGATTGTATATTTTGATGGTTAATAAAATCCGAATAATTCTGCTGCTGAAGAAGACGAAGAAGCTGTGGTTTATACAGCGAAATATTCAGGACAGAAAAATCTTGTTTTGATTTTCGTTTTCTTAAACACTCTGGGATTATTTTAAATAATTTATAATGTGATTCAATCTGATTCAGGGCTCAAATTATTATTCCAAGGAATTCGTAGCATCTACAGTCTGGAAACTGATGATCATCACTGCAACCAAGTCGTTAACTATATCCGTAACTTAAGCGTTATGAAAGCAGGAGACTCACTTGAACTTATCCGACTTCTACGCAATGAAATGCAAGTAAAGCCGTTGTTTAGACACATCTAGGAGCCTGGTGAAATCACCAGGATACCTAAATTTTCATCCGATATACTGTATGGACTCTTCTCCAAACTCTTCTTATTGTTTCAGTCATAAAACTATGTTTTTTAATCACTATATAAACTCACAAACAGTTTCAGTTTACTGTTAGGTAGAGCACTTCTCAACAGAAATGAGGAAAAAAATGTTGTGTAGATCTGAGTATTGTTACTTCCGATGGAACAACACAGCGTCACACAAAGTACTGCCGAATATCATTCTACTTGAACATCCTGTAAGAAGAGGAGACTTTGTGTAATTGTGTAATACTCTGAAAACTCTATGCTGTGTGTTAGTTAACCTACTGTCATTTACATAAACCTACATTTTAAGAAATTTTAAATATTTTCCGTCATAAAATGCTAGTGTTATGTATTTTGAAATAAATTCATGTTGATAGTTTTGTTTGTTGGTTGCCATGGTAACCGAAAGGGTGTGAAAATAACAGAACGTTATGGTTATTATAGGGATATAA